TACCTTCGGTGTTTAGGACGCAAGCAGATTTTGACATCAAATTTTGGGGTAAAAAAAGTGCGTCTTATACACCGAAAAATACGGTATGTACTTAGTTTGAAGCACTTTCGATAGACACTCGATAGCCTTTGTGCAGTAATTATGGTTAACCACTTGTATCAAAAACAGATGGTCGTAAGTTATAATTATTATTATTTACAAAAGCGGTCTTACAGATTTGATACCAATAACTTGTTGGAATACGTATTTATTACCTTGTGTCCAACAAGACGAATTAATTGTTAAACATTTCTTATTTTTATTTTTTTATGTACCTTTAACTAAGAAATTAATTGAAGATCCCTTCTACATCGGACTTCGACAGAAAAGAGTAAAAGGGCCCGAGTACAATGACTTAATGGATGAATTTATGGAGGCTGTTGTACAAAGGTAAAGTAGACATTGTAAACAATAATAACAAATTTTCTAACATTAAATGTTAATGGTTGAGAGCAAGTAATCGCATACACAGTATCAAGGTATGTTATTATGTACAACAGTGTCTTAAAACTCCTTCTACGTGACAAACTACAGTAATTGTTTACATGATGTTGTAGTAACCTTATTCACGATAGAATAGTGTTTATTATTATGTACAATAGTAAGACTCCCTACATGTTTTTAACACGATTTCAAAACATGTAATTTTCCTTACCTTATTTTATCGTCACGATACCCTGCAATAACCTATCTAACAATGTTTTTTTTTTAATAACTTTTCTCCTGAGGAACTGTAGTAACCCTTTTTCACAATACGCTGCAGTAATTTTTCTCATAATATTGTTACGACAGCGGAAGTCACGCAACTCTAGAAGCATGCGCGCTGGAGTTTCTAGAAGGATCATGACTGTTCCAGGCGCCCTCTATTTTAGTATATAAGCCCGGCATATAATTGCAGATAGAGAGGTATAGAGACAGATAATTGAGTCAAGCGAGCGGTTGTGACCGTAAGTATCGTGCGTGAATCGTTGTGAATTATAGCGAGTGTTTAAGTTAAAGTGACTGTGGAAATTCTGTGTATTATAAAGTTGTAACGAGAAATAACAAACTAGTTTTAGTTACGAAAGGACTTGTATCGCTGAAGTTTCTCGGAAAGATTTTCTACGGGAAATTAACAAACGAACAGAGACGTAACAATATTCTATAATTGTGTTTCTAATGAGGTACTGTAGTAAATATTCTAACAATATACTACCTCATTAGAAAGACAACTATAGGATATTATGAGAAAGTTGTATAGTATATTGTTAGAATATTTACTACAGTACCTCATTAGAAAGACAACTATAGGATATTATGAGAAAGGTTGTATACTGTAGTAAATATTCTAACAATATACTATACAACCTTTCTCATAATATTCTATAGTTGTCTTTCTAATGAGGTACTGTAGTAAATATTCTAACAATATACTATACAACCTTTCTCATAATATTCTATAGTTGTCTTTCTAATGAGGTACTATAGTAAATATTCTAACAATATATTATACAACCTTTCTCATAATAGTCTATATTGGCCTTTCTCGTGAGGAATTGTAGTAACCCTTCTTCACAATATACTGTAGTAATCCTTCTTCCCAATACACTGCAGTAATATTTCTCACAATATTTTGTAGTTGCCTTTTTATTATTGTAGTAGCCCTTCTTTACAATACACTACAGTAATTTTCTCACAGTATTCTATAGTTGTCTTTCTAATGAGGTACTTTAGTAACCCTTCTCCACACTGTACTGTAGTAATCTTTCTCACAATATAGTGTAATAACTTTTTCACCCTACACGGTATTAACTTCTCTCATAATATACAGTAGTGGCCTTTCACCTGATGTACTCCAGTGACATTTCCTCACAATTCACCTTAAAAACCTTCTTCATAAAGTATTGTGGGAACCCTTCTTCGCCCTACACCATGGTAGCTTTTTTCAGTATAAACTTTACATAATTTTACGCTACATTACAGTAATCTTTTTCAAAATAAACTGTAATATTCTACTAAAGGCTTACTGTATTAACTTTGTTTACGAGATTTTTATTGTTATAATCTAACAACCATTACTACTGTTAACACTTTTCGTGCTGAAATGTTTCTCTTACTATGGTTGAGATTGGATCGAGAAAGGTTCATTATCTGGATATGCCGCGAATCTTACGTAGTTTGGGATCCTTTTATAATAGAGGTTGCTAATTAACGGTCCTTTGTTAGTTAATCTTGTGGTATTATTGATTGTAGTTTTACTTAACATCTACGGTTACTTTACGTTTAAATTTGATTAATTGTTTGTTTTTTACAGGTATGGAAGGTCTTGTTTGATCCAATTTGAAGACTTTGGCAATCACAATGCCTTTAGGCTCTTAGAGAAATACAAGCCAAATTATTGCACTTTTAACGATGACATCCAAGGTAAACCGTGTACTAGTCACTTGTAGTAGTAAAGATGACACATATATATATACATGTAATACGCTTGCATTTGTCTGTCCGGAACTTTTCTCGCAAATATGTCGATCAAATGCTACAACTCTCATATCGTTAGAAAGGGCTTTGTCCGAGGAGTCCGGATTGAATATTGGCTTTTCAATTCAGTAATACCTTACCTGTCTTTTGTTTAGTCAAATTTTTTAATGCAACGAGTATGGCACAATGGCACAATGCCGTTGCCATCACGAGCCGACTGGCTTCGATTTCAACTTTAGTTTTTTTTACTTGCAAAATATTTCACAAACAACACCACTTAAACCGCGTGTAATTTCCTTTAAAAGATGAAAGTTTCAATAAATACAATTGCTATAGACTTTCTACACTTATTTAGGTTTAAAATACGCGTGCGCAGTTCTTTCAAAACTATATGCTTATCACTTTGTAACCTCGCATTCAGTAGTTTCTGCATATTCAGCTAAGTTTGCCTTCATTGTAACTTTACATTTACTTTACTTTGCAAT